CTCAAGTTTGCTCAAATCATGAGAACTTTATCTTCACCCAAAGCCTTGGAAGGGCATTAATAATTGAATAAACTAATGCATGACTAGAACATAAGAATAAGGAACTAATAAATCAGGCTTTCGTAACACTTTTTAGAATCAACTACATCGATTTAAATACCTACTAATTTATTTGTGGTGGTTTAAGAACTGCTATAAATTCATTGTATTTGTGTTCACTAGAAAGACTTTAGTAGCTATTTTATGAGTGCTGCTGTAGGTATGTTTTAGCAATGCTTTTAGCAGGTGTTAAAATCGTTGCTAAAGAGTAGAACATATTAAAAATAATAATGCCAAAAAATCAAATTTCATGATTAACTTACAAATATCAATAAAATATTATACAAATATAAATTGAGTGAATATTAAGAACATAGAAATCTACAAGTACTTTAATACTTGCTCTTCTACAGCTAAGATGTAGAACTCTTATAAATGTACCTACAAACACCACTGTCATTGAAGTTGCATATGGCTTATATAAGCAATTTAAATTTGAAATATCCATGGGAAAAGTTGGACAACTTCTCCATCGGAGACTTTACCTTGTTTGGGAATAGCACCAGGATGAAAATTGATGATGATCTCTCACAATGTTTTCTAGAACACGGAGCAGAGATTCTTCTTGAAAAGTGTTTCAACCTTGTAACAGGTTGGAGGCATCTGATACGAACAATGATAGATTCACAAATGGGAATGTTGCATCCCAATATAAATAATATGTTGAGAATGAAATGAGAAAAAAGAAAGAAAATAAAAAAGAAATTCTAACAGTAAAAACATTCAATGATATGTCTTGATGGAGTATCATTGTCGTGCCAAGGAATAGGAAGAGTGTATTAAGGTTTTATGCAAGGAACTTCCCAGGAAATCCATACCTTATTCAATATTCAAATGCATGAATATTGACCTGGGCACCTGGAGGGGGAGATGTAAGAAAAATTACCAACTTGACCCTTAGCCCAAGCGTGATCTTTGGTTATTTACTAAAATCTCCTTTTGGGGGAGAAGGATGGATTGTTAGTGTGGACGATTTAGAAGATATAATTGGAGGACATGTTTGGTTAGGTTCCATTTGTATACTTGGTGGAATTTGGCATATCTTAACCAAACCTTTTGCATGGGCTCGCCGTGCTTTTGTATGGTCTGGAGAGGCTTACTTGTCGTATAGTTTAGGTGCTTTATCTGTTTTTGGTTTCATCGCTTGTTGTTTCGTCTGGTTCAATAATACCGCTTATCCTAGTGAGTTTTACGGACCCACTGGGCCGGAAGCTTCTCAAGCTCAAGAATTTACTTTTCTAGCAGTGAGAGATCAACGTCTTGGGGCTAATGTGGGATCCGCCCAAGGACCCACTGGGGCTATAGACTTGATGAAAGTATTCAAGAATTTTTTGATATCGGCAAGAACTTCTAATGTAGATCTTAAAAAACTATTTAAATCTAAAGTTGAGGAAGGCAACGAGAAGCTACTATGTGTTGATCCAAGCTACTCAGGCACCTTTCTAAAAAGTTTAGTCTTCCTAAAGCCTATGATCAAGTATTTGGGGAAAATTTAGCCTCAAGAAAACAATACTTATTTTCTGCACAGCTTGTAGTTCTTTTAGGCTACTGCACAACTCAACGAATGTAGGATGCACCCATCCATAACTCATAAGTAAATTTCCAAATCCAACTTTTATGAAAACAAGATTTCTGACAGAGAAAATGTCATAGCTCCAAACTATCAAAAACAATATCTATCAGGGCTACTTTATGGTCCATATTCATTTATAAACATTGGATTTGGCAAGGAGGTAACAGAAAAAGATGGAAGAAGCAAAAAAAAATATTGTAGAAGTTATAGTTGTTGCGCAAATAGTTGAAAAACTTTTCAAAGGTATGTTTGTTATCTTCTAGAGTCTAATGATTGTATTACCATTATTTTATTATCAAGTACAACAATTTTATGCTGCATGACGAATGTTCTTGCTTGTTAATTAGAAAATTAGAATTAGAAATCTATACTATATTTTTATATACTATATGAACTATAGGCTGGTGAACTAGAAAATTAAACTTATATAATAAACTCTATCTATATAACAAAAATTTTTATTTTTTGCTCATTTATATAATAATAACATTATATTTTGGCGTAATTACTATGTTAAATTTTATTTTTTTTTATTGCAAAACTTATGAGATTTTGATTTTGTATGATCTTCAGCTATATTTGAGGCATGTATCAAGTTTGATGAGTTTGATGACTTGTTGAATATGGATTCTCTACAGATTAGTGATTATGTTGTTCTATATTGTCATTTGAAAGTAAGGTTCTAATCATTTACTCTATTGTGATCTAAAAGTCATTTGTTCCAATAATCAGTCATGGAGTTAGAGAACTTGAACGAATAAATGAGACAAGTAGTTATCAATTTAGTTTTTTGTCAACATCCTTTTTATTGCCCCATATTCAAATTCATGTCACCAATATGGAGACCAAATCTCAACAAATATCAATGTAATATCTACGCTTTAAAGTGGAAGGAAGAAAGAGAACTTACAAGTGACATAGATTAGGTATTATTTTAAACCTCTTTGCATCCATATAACCACTAGGACGAAGTATCCGACCCATCTCAAGAAGAATAAACTTCATTTCATATCTTTGGAGAAAAAGACAAAACAACAGTAATTGTCAGAACATGCACTAAAGTTTCAAAGCAAGAATGAAATTTCTAGAGAACTTTCTATGTTCATGCAGTTGCTAGATGCCTAGATCCATAGTTGTTCAACCAAAAGAACCCAAACCCATCTTTATTCATAACAAACATAACGTGCTAGATTCTCTTCGCCTAACACATGCAAACATATAAAACTTTCACTGACGTGTGAATTGATCTGATGAAGCTTCAAAAAAATAAAATACTTATTTTTAAATTATCCATCTTCGATATATATATATATACAACAACTTAAACAGTGGATCAAACAACACAAGCTTTCCATTTGACAGGTTAAAAAGCTCTTTCACATTCAAGAAAAAAAAACACAAACACAAATACAGCAACGCACTAGTACTACAAATAAGAATAAGAAAGAGGTCAAAAATATTACAGCTAGGATCAGTTTACAAGGAAGAAGAGCGAAGGAGATAAGAGAGAAGAGTTAAACCCTTTCTGAGAAGCAACTCGGACAACAATAGTCTGGCAACCGGTGAAGGTTTCCTCGTCGAAGTCAGGATACGTCTCGTGTTTGAGAAAAAAAAAAAAACAATCTGTAAAACATTATAATCTCTCAAAATATCAATTTTCTCCTGTAAAGTTTAAGGGAAAAAAGGAGATTAAAGAACAGAGGTTGAATCTAACATAAAAGATTTGCTTATTTTCAGATTCTTAACTTTATTATTGTGCTTGGTTTTAAACCAAAGCCTATAATCCGCATTTGTTAATGAAACGAGAAAAAGAAAAAAAGTAGCCAAACCAATTTCATTCATTAAAATCCTAAAACAGAGAGTTTATTGCTACATACATGTACCTTGACTACCGCATCGCAGTTCTTGTCTTGCAACTGTGACGAGTACGGCTGAAATCATTTTCAAAAGTGTATCGCCGTCGATGTTGGCCCGCATCGCAGTTCTTATATCGCATCGCAGTTCTTGTCCTGCAACTACGACGATGTTGGTGAATCCTTCAACAGAGTATATCTCGTCGGATTCCAAGGGGAAATCACAGTACATTACCAAAAGTTGATTGTTGTCATATCGAAGACGAACAGAGTACCATACCTCATCCATAGCTCTGAAATCCATTATTGGCGACACCTTGTCCGCATCTACTTGGTGCTTCGTCGACATTGTTTCTTCGATTACAGAGAACCACTAAGAGGAGAAATGAGTAGTACAGCTGGCTGTGCGAAAGTCCCGTAGCGAGGCGGTGGCATAGGAGGAGCGAGAGCTAGGGCACGGGAGGAGAAGGAGGCGGAACTGGGAGACGGAGCGGGAGCGGGAGCTAGGGAACGAGAGCGAGAAGAGAGATTGCGAAATTATAAGGGCGTCTCCAGCCAAATTCCAAACGAAAGCCGATTTGCTCCATTCGAACGGCAAAAAAAATTGTTAATTGGTGGAGGTTGAACACTATAATGTCAATATTTGTGTTGCATTATTCACCAATTAAATTTTTTTTGTCTTAATCAAATTTGTCTGAAGAATCAAATGAAAGAGGAGAAAATAGTTATCTTCACAGAAGCCTGTAAAATAGAGTTCAATTGAAGATGAACCACTTCATTGCATTTTGGAGTGAAAAATGAAATTTTAAGTTGGAGATACCTTAAGGACGACATTTTTATTTTTAACGGCAATTTTTAAAATGTTATTATTGAAATGCTTGGGAAAATATTATTTTTTAGAAATATTATTTTATTCGTTGCCTATATTTATTTATCGCAGCAGTTGGTTTATAAATCGCTGCTATAAATTATTATGAAAATATTAATTTTTTATTAGTCGATTATCTTGGCAAGCATATTTAATATTCACAAATGTCTACATTGTACTACCTACCTAAATCTTTATTGTGTTTAATGGGTTTTTATTGAACCTTGTGTCAAACTAAATTTATGAACATTTATAACTCAATTAAGGGTGGATCCAACTTCTTTTTTCAGGGTGGGCAAAATTTTAGTTAATTAAAATATTAAACAATAGCAATAATAATAATGATAATGATAAATAATAATAATAATAACAACAACAACAAATAGTAATAATAAAATATTTAAAAAAAATTAAACCAATATAATGCCATCAAAATTATAATAGAAAATTTTTATCATTTATTTTTCATTATAATACTGATTTTAATAATATAAATTAGAGTATAATTATGTTGACACTAGACTCTTACTTAAAAGAATAATAATAAAAAATGAGCTAAACGTAATGCTCCTAATCCAACAAAATCAAATAATACCTAAGCCTGGAAGAAATTTGGAACCCCAGTCTCAGTCGCTCGGCAAGGCTCCGTCTTAGCCTCAGACGGACGTTCAGGAAGCTGGGTGAAATGAATAAGAGGAATGATGCCTTACGTTCTCGCTCGCTGGCAAGGCTCCGTCTGAGCCTAAGATGAACATTTAGGAAGCTCGATGGCTGATGTCGCAGTTGATGAATCGTCTCCACCTTCCGACTTGGTTCTGGACGGAGCGGATGGATCCATCCGATCGAATGGAATGCTGGGTCGGGCCGTTTCCTCATGCGGCATGGAGGAGAATTCCTCCGTCTAAGATATGGACATCACTAGCTCTTCTCCATCGGATATGGATTTGACCAATTGTGAGGTTCCGAATGAATCCTGCCCCAACGTCTTCGTTCCAGACGTTAACATGAATCGCGAAACGGCCATTCACAAACAACCGGTTGCCTCCCAGGTGTGTGCGGCTCATCCCACAATTCTGTGCTCTGATGGTTACGATTGTCATGGAATTAAGAGTGCACTTGAGCATGAAGTGCATAGGGCCATTGTGTCATCTTGCAGGTGTTCAGAAATTCCAACTGCAGCCTCTACCAAGCCTCCACCTACAGGTTTCTGCACTCCAGGTGCTTGTGGAAATTCCTCAAAGATGCATAAATCAGATTTATCTCAATTTGAGCTTCAAAACCAAAGGTCCGGCTGTCGTATTCCACCCACAAACTCCAACGAAGGGCCTAATGATTGGAAAGAAAGAATCGTGAAAGCGGGCTGCGAAGTGAGAACTGGCTGGATGGGAAAACATATTTAGGATTGATTAAATTACGGAAAAAAGATTTTTGGAGGGGGGACAAAATACAAAAAATATTCCCAAAATATCAAAAATATTCCCTCAAACACTTTTTTTTTAGTGTGGGCAATTTTTTTTTTTTTTTTAGTAGCCCACCCTGGCTTCAACTTGGATCCGCCACTAACTCAATCAATAGTTATCATAGCATGGTTGACACTGCTTTTCCCAAAAAAATTTAAGTTATTTTTAAAAGGCAGCAAAAAATAGAAGTCAAATAAAATTATGATTGCGGCCACATAAAGAAAAGTAGAAAGAAAGATGTCTCAAACAGAGCTTAAGAATAATTAAGAATCTAGATGACTCTGGTTCAAGTTTTTCTTTTTAGCTTAAGAAGAACTATTTTTTTAAGCTCCTAGCTTAGCATTGCTGTCTTGTTATGTGCTATTGAGTAAATTAGATAATTGTTGAATAAAATATGTTTATGCGCTACAGAGATTTGAGGAAGCTAAAGAAGAATAAACAGTTGGTGTATTTTCAGTTCTTGAAGGAGCTGAGGTTATATTCACAGGATAAAGGCTGACATTAGATGGTATATCATTTCTCAGCATTATCCATACAGTATATTAGAAATATTATAAAGTTCTATTAAATTCTCCGTTGAGGAAATTGGTGGAAAGCCCACAAGAGAAATATTATAGAAAACTAATATGCGCTAAGTTTTTTTTTTTCCTTCTGTTTTACAAATCATAAAAAAAGATGGAATATTAAAGAAGAAGAAGAAGAGAGGTTAAAAAGAAAGACATTTGGTAGAAATAAACAATGATTTTATGAAAATTTTTCTAGCAGAAAATTTAAATGTATTTTACCTTTGATTTTGTAGGATCTGTTTTTTCGCTGAAAAAGAAATGATACTATTTCAAGCAAAGAAAATTTGAAATTATACAATCAGAGAGTTCAAATTTGAAGCACCAATCAGTATAGAGGAAGGCTAAATGCTCGCCACAACCATCACGGCTGGCTCCAAAATGCGTCATCAACCATCATCTGTAAGTCAAAATACTCTTCAACCTGAAAACAATCTCCTCCGCAGTCTCCATCAAGCCCAGCTATCGTCTCCTCTACTCCGCCACCAACGCAATTGAAAGCACCGCCAACATCTGCCGGCAACTCGAGGTAGTGCTCTAACTCTTTTAGATAATCTTCAAACATATTTCCATCCACCTCCTCCCCTCCGCCGCCCAGCGCTGTTTTCCCCTGTGAAGCGCTGTCACCGATAAAAACACAGTCCGCCTCCGGCGGCAAGTCAAGAAACTGATCTATTTCCTCTAAACAGTTCTTCATCATGTTTCGATCCGATTTCTCCGCCGCCGAGCATTTCCCACATCCTTCTTCGCCTCCGACTACGGGCAACACCGAGGCCGATGTATTATTTACAGCACCAAAGCGGTGAAATGCCGACGACGCGAAGGTTGCTGCCAGCACAATCACCGTTCCAGCAGCCACCATAAACAGTTCTTCATCATGTTTCGATCCGATTTCTCCGCCGCCGAGCATTTCCCACATCCTTCTTCGCCTCCGACTACGGGCAACACCGAGGCCGATGTATTATTTACAGCACCAAAGCGGTGAAATGCCGACGACGCGAAGGTTGCTGCCAGCACAATCACCGTTCCAGCAGCCACCACCGGCCCCGCCACCACCCCACCCACAATCTGACCGTCTGGCCCGGCTAAATTCACCGTCAAACTGCCTTCGCGGCCACCAGGAGGAAACGTGGCCGTGAAAGAACGAAGATTAAAGCTTCCCCTTCCCCGTAGTGTTGTTGGAGGCAGGGCAGCAAGTAGTCATCTTACGGTGTGCGGTTTCACAAAGCACTCTCTCCTCTTTCAGAAATGATTACTTCTGTAGCGAGGTAGTGGAACGATGCCCTTATTTAAAGCAAATTACGCGTCTCTGTAATTTAAGCGGAGATATATTTGGAAAGCAAATCCAAAAAGATATGATTTTGAAAATTTACCGGCAACTAAATGCTAATAGCTAACAGAGATTATTTTCAACTGGAAAATATTTCCTATTTTAAAATTTTAAGTCGTAAATACAGTCCTCACTGATAAAAACATATTTTTAATAAAATAAAATATAAATAATTTGTAATTTGGAAGAAAATTAAAAAATAATTTTTAAATTTAAAATTCAGATATATATTAAATTTATTAGTTTGAATTATATTTTATAAGCATGATAATTTAATGAATTTTAATTTTTTAAATCAATTTTTATATAAAATTTTTTAAATTGTTAATAAATTTAAATTTGAACAAGAAGTTATAATTTTATTAAATTTTGATGAAATGAAAAAGAAATTAATCAATTTAATCCTAAATACATTTTATGTCATAAAATAAAAAAGTTAAAATCTATTTATATAAGAGATTGATAGATAACGATAATATTATTTCGATCAAGAAGTGAAATTACATAAGAGTAATTCTTGCATAAATCATTACTTAAAATTAAATGTATGTGGCTCCTTCTAAAATCTACTTTAATACAAGTTATTGCCCTTTACTATATCATTGCGGATTGCGTATGATCCTACCGTGAATTGATGTACTCCTCTTTGTCGTTGATGAGCTTCATCTTCTTCCTTGTAATATTCTTCTTCTTGATCATGGTTTTATAACATAAATTTTTTTTAAAAAATCAAGGTAGAAATTGTGCCACTGTAGCATTACATATCTTGTTGTTTAATGAGACATAGGAAAATTTTTGTGTTAAGGTTATCTTATTAAAAATTTAAATGTGATTATGAATTGTTTTTATTACCTGTAGGATTTGTTTTAAGATGATTAAAATTTATGATTAATCAATTAATTTTTAAGACAGATTCATATAGTGGCTTATAACTTCTTCTCATAAAAATTTGCCCGCCCCCACCCCCCCAAATGAAAGGCTGGTTCTGCCCCTGTCTATGTCAATAGTAAAATAACGATGAGTTGATAACAATCAAATAATTGATATTAAAACCAAAACTTAAAATTTTTTATAAATTTAAATTACAAGAATTTTTCACCTTAAATATAACAGAAGTTCTACTACAATCTTATATATATAGACACACACACACACAAAATCAATCTATTACAATAAATGCCTTCACAAAATAATACACGAAAATCCAAAAAAAAAAGCTCTTATCATGAGGGCAATTTCTTCACACAATATCAGCCAAGTATTGGGATCTCTGTTTCCAAACTTCAATGGCATCCACTTCAACCTACATGTGAAAAGAAAATTTGGAATATGAAATCATGAAGTCATGAATATGAGTAAGTTGATTGTTTATATCTTATTAATGCTGGACATTTGCAAGTGGAATGTCAATTAAGCAACCAGTACATATACTTAAAAATTTCAGCAACAATGAAATATGGTAAACTTAAAGATAAAATAAAGCTTACTCTTGTATGAAAATACATATTAATTTATGAAAGATGCAAAAAAGATAAGAAGCAAAAAGTCAATCAATGGCAAACAACATTCCAAAGTGGATTGGAATCTATAGCTGTCGAGAATTTGCTTTTCAATGAAGCCAAATCTAAATCACCTTAAGGTCATTATATTGTAAGGTAAAATAATCTTCAAAATGAAAGTTTGCTTTGCAAAAGGTCTAGTCCAATCCTATGAGAGTGAGCAGTTTCACATGGGATTCAAAATTAACCCAAAAACCTAATTTCAAATAAATGAATTATCATCAAAGCCACC